CTGCCGAAACGGGCCGTCCAGAGCGTGGCTCATCTGTTACCTCGAAATGGCCGGTTCGGAAACGTGCCACCCATTTCTTCACCATTGTGAGGGAAGGGCAGTCCTCCTCTAGAGTCGCCAGCATCTCAGAGTGAATCTCCTGCGCTCGTTTCCCTTGCAGGAACAAGAACTTCATGACCACGCGCTTGTCGACGTTGCTGAATTCCGGTCTTGACGCCGCCATTATGAGTTCAAACTGCCGAAGGAAGCAAACTAACGGTCGTACCGGACTCTCACGGCGTGTGCGCTCTAGCGATGACCTCCCCTCCCTACATCCCTCGTGGCGCGGCTTTTGCTCTCTTGCGTCTGGGTAAAGTCGCGAACTTTTCAGCACCCCCTCGTATGATCGGGAGCGTTTCATTCCACCATCAGGGGCCTTTTCCGCGGAAGATTTGAAAGTTGCGAGCTGCGAGTTAGTCCTCGTCCGCTCGAAATGTGCTTAGAAGTCTCGGCAAGGTCGGAAACATCTGGCCTGTGGTGAAATTCAGGCCCAGGGTGGCTTAATTTGATGAAGATCATATTACTATTTTTTGCGCAAATGTTCAGTATATTGCGCATGAACTCATGGCGATGTGCAACGATAAGAAACGGGGGGGGGGGTAGGAACTGCCAACTGGTCGGATCAAACTTGTAATTTTTTTTCGCAGGCAGAAAATGTGCCTGCTAAATTGCCAATTCTCGGGTCTCTCCAACTGCAGCCAACTTGAGCACATTACCACTGTCATATTCTTCGTCTGAGGGCATATCATCGCCAAGGGGAAGAGAGGATTCGAGAAACCTGATCTTCTGCTCCTCTTCCCCTCTTGTCCAAATTTAGCCGAAGGGAGCTTTGTGATCTGATGACAGCCCACGCTCCTTTCAGCGTCTCCTCAATTTCGATCACCGCCACTCCTTGTCGATAACATCAGGGCGACCTTGACAGGACTTGTAAACCGTATAAGACGCGACCCTTGCAACTGCAGAAATCACGCTGGTGACTCGTGGCTTGCAGCGAGTAAATCTTGGAACAGGCCTCAAGGCACACTGACGGGCCTTCCACGGCAAGCGCTGGCAAGGCTTATCGCGTGCCCAACGGACCAGAAAGATCCACGTCGGATGGCGGGGGCCGGCCCGCCGAGTCAGGCCCGTGCCGGGTGACGGCCCGTGCCTGGTGACGGCACGATCAGACGGCTCTAAACTCGCAATAGCATTCAGAGTCGATGGTGTTCGCGGATTGGGGGAATTCCGGTGCGAACGTGGCTGCCGAGCATGGCGACTCGGAACGTTCTCGCACGAAACCCGGAGTCCGTGCCAACACCTGCAGGGAATCGATAGAGAAGTCCTTGGTATTTCTCGTCCGTGAATTCCTCAGCGAATTGAATCAGCGTGGGAAGTTCTTCGGGGGAAAACGGGAATAGCTCGTTGTACGAGGTTATAGCTTTCCGATGGCTCCCTTCTCTGAATGATATCATTTCCCTCCTAAATGAGAATGCTCCGTTGTATATGATGAGCACGAGTGTATGGAATTCGTCATTTACATTTTTTTATTGAGCGTTTTTTTTTTCCCCGGGGATATGTACGCCCACCTGTCTGCTCAATTTCTTCATAATTATTATTCGATGTCATTTCATCCTTCCCCACCTCGCCTTGATTAATGCTCTCTGAATGATTGATTATGGAAAACCGCTCTGTTTACTTTGCCCACTTAGGCAGATGGCACGATCGCGATTGGGCGACCCGCCCAATCGCGATTTTGGAATGCCCATTGGCGCCCGGGCCTATAAATGAAAAAGTACTCGTCTTGGAGCATGCAGTCTTTTTTTAATGGGGAAAATCTTCAGCTGATGAGGAGACTGCTGACTGGATCAGCCGATCGCTGACCCAGCAGCTACTGTGTAACTATGTAACAGCTGTTACACAGTAGCTGGTGGGAGTAGAGGTGCACTCATTGAACGTTGGCAGTGGTTGAAGTCCACCAAGTCGGGAGATGGAGCCCGCGCGTGTGTCAGCAGTCACTCAGTCCCATCAATCAGTCGCGATTGATGGGACTAAGAGAGCAAGCCCGTGCGTCTGTCTCTTCGGAAGGAGCGAGAGAAGCGAGAAATTGCGATATCTCGGCAAGGAACATGAAGGTGAGGAACCCGGGGTTGAAGGGTTGCAATCTCCAGGTTTTCCAGGACTTTTTCACGGAGGGGTGTGAGGGCACGTGTCCTTTTTCCCACTTCTATTCACTCATTCTTTTTTTTTTCTCTCTCGGTTATTTCTTGGGAATGGGTGGCTCGGAGTTACCATCTCAGATGGAGCGATTAAGTTGGGGGAGGGAAATGAGGGGGCGGACGGGCTTCGCTGGGAAGAGCCTCTTCCCTTATCTGCCGTTGCTTCCGCCCCTTTCTTCCCCATTGTTATGTTTTTTGATACTGGTCCCCGCCTTCGCAGTCTGCCGATGTCGGACGGAAACATGGAGTGTGACGTGAACGCAGCGATGCGTGGTGTCGGATCTGGACGGCCTGCCCGTGTCCGGAGCGGAAGAATTATTAGGTGACGAAGATATTAAAAAAGAAAAACCTCTTGAACCTGTTCTGGATATAATTGACTGCGATGGGCGTGACACTGCCTCTTCACAAATGCCAAGGGACTTTTTTTTAATTTAAATAACTTCCCGGTCATGAGAAATTGGTGAGGGTCACGTTTTGTTCTGGAGAATTGATCCAGTTTTTTTTTCCCTCCCCCCCCCATTTTTTTTGGACAAGATTCCTGCGTCACTCAACTGCTGGCTTAAGCCTCAGATTGGGTAATAGCAATCGAGTTAGGAAACACTACAATTAGAGATGCACGAAATCAAAATTTTGCAAAAGTAATGATGCCACGAATCCTGAAATATTTTTTAGGTTGAGGCATTTTTGGCACCGAACACTTATTCAAAGGATAATGATGGTGAACAACGAGCGTAGACGTGTGTGTGATACTCGCTGATACCATGCTGATACTTGCTGCTGCATTCTTCCGCCAACAGATGGCGCCAGAATTGCTTGATGCTAAAATGTTGGCCTTATCGGGATTGGAGAGCCATTGACCTGTGTAACCTGTGTCAGATGGTCTATGATGCTAGAATTCTTTTCTATCTACTTCTGAACCAGTACCCGAATCTCGACGTCTTGTGCGCGAAAGGACATATCTGGAGTGAAATAGGTTTTCAGTAGTGCCCATGAGTGACATCTAATGGAGAACATGAACAATCGTGTATCTGAATTCAGCTATTGTAAACAGGTGTTCATGACTTCCCAAGCGCGATAGAAACAGGAATCGTGATTCTAGTTCCTCATTCTTCAGGCAGACATTGCTGTGGATTTCTATGGAAATAATTTTTACTTAATTATTTCCATAGGAAATCATTTCAATCACCTCCAAATGAAAGCCATGGAGTCATTGAACCACACATGTATTTTCCCACCAAAGGATTCCCCCCACATGTAAAGCAGAATTGCAGCGGAAAGACAAAGCAACTAACACAGCACTCTTTCGGCACCCGGATTTCGGGTATGAAACAACTTTTTTAAGGCGATGCAGTGATTTTTTTTTTTTTTTTGCACTGGGATACCATGGCTGATGCCGCAGATCCATGGGCACACGGTCGGTTGTGGAGATTCCCTTCAGCACTTTTTCCAACGCCCAGGGCAGTAATTGTACCAGACCTGTGTGTTAGAGGTGGATTCCGCCTCTCCGTCTTTCTGCGAATAGTATACCTGAAAAGGAGGAAGACCGGAGTTAGGCTTCGTCAGCTCAGTACGCTTGAAGTGATAGAAAAATTGGCATTGGAAGTTAATGACAGCTTCGTATTTGCTGTATCCATGCATTAGTGGTAGTTGACGCTCAGGAGATCATGTGTGAGTTGTAAAAGGCGCTATTCTCCTTCCAAATTCACTGGGATTCTCATATGCCCATACTGAGAAATGTTTTAACGCTTTTCTCCAATGTTGAACGCGAAGTGTGGCTTTAATATCTTCGAATGCAGAAATACCTGTTGGAGGTGCTTGTCGGGTCGGAGCCAGTAGTAGTACCCGATGGTCCATCCAAGGCTCGCGGACCGCAGCTCCACGTGACCCATGAACAGGCGGGAAGCCTCCTCACTCACTGCCCAGTCGATCACGTACCGCCATAAGCTGCGGACGTTCGCGTTCTCCTGGAATACGCAAGTGAAAGTGAAATAGTCTAAGCGGAACAAAAAAAAATATTTACGGTCAAAAGGGTAATTTTTCATCATTTGAATAATTTATGCATCCGATTAGCATCACGTACTAATAAATGAAGAGGTCAGAAGTAAATATGACAGTATCACATAACCTACGGTAAACCTATCTATCTAACCTTGTAACTTCATATCAATCCTAATCTTGAATGTTCTGCATCTGTAACGATGATTATCGTGAAATTAAAAAAGTTCATGGATTCCATGGATTTAAGAAGTTTTGAAAGTTAAGTTTTGTACAGGAAATTGAAATATGCGAATTTATAACCCTTTTAAAACATTAAAATTCTCAAGAGTATAATTTTTATGCTATTGAATTCATTTGATGTTGAGTTTGGAAGAATTTGAAGATGAGATGACTTGATTAATCTGGTAGCTCGGGAATCCCGACACAAGTCAGCCGTAATGATTAAGGTCGCACATACTCTTCTAATTGACAGCATTGGACTAATGAGATTAATGCGTGGGTCGGACGTTAACCCCATGTTTGACATGCTGGGATTCCAGCATAATCTTCCCTCTTGACCGTCGCCTCACCCCTCAATCCTCAACCATTATTTTAAAAGTACTGTAACAGCGATTTTTTTCCAACTAGTGGTGAACCTCGTCAACTATAGAGAAAAAAAAGATGACCGCCCTCACCTACAGTTATAAAACAGGTATCTGTATGACCTGAAGTACGTTACTGGGCATGAAGAACCAGCTAGGGAAAAGGAAGATGAAGGAATAACTGTTTCTGTTCTCACATCTCCGGATAAGGAAGTTGCCCTCCCTGAATAATGGCGGTTCCGTTCCGATACCATCTCCCTAACCGGTTCGAACGCGAACAAACGAAAGACAAAGCACAGTTAATCATTATATATTCACCTGCTATGAATTCGCTGTAACGTTATGGAGATGGGCGTCATTTTCTTTGGAATGCAATTGTTTCATGATTGGAATCTAGAGCGACCGAGACGTGAATTGCGATCGGGTGAGCCGTAGGGATTAAAAGCTGCGTTATTCATATACCGGAATATGAGCAAGATTAATGAAAACTCGAAGGAGTGCACTTGAGGTGGCATCATTCTGAAGTGAGGGAGCTGGTTGAATTAAGGAAATTTATATAAATCCTCACAGCAGTACACTTGAATATCTAAGGGGAAGAAACGGCCGTGGAAAGGAAAAAGAACGAATTAACGAATTGGTTGCAAGGTCGATGAATCATAGAAGTCATGGCACTGTTTTGACAGAGCTGACCTTTGTGCCGTCCACTGAACAAGGGGAGAAGCAGAAAGGGATCTGTTCTGCATTGAAATTCTGGTGAGGAACATTTAGTGTGGGCGGGGGGGGGGGGGGGGTTTTACAACATCTGTCAGTTCCTACCCCCTCTCCTTCCCTCCTGCAATTACTACATGCCGACGATCCTTGTGGTGAGGTTTCTAATACGAGAAGGAACAGCAGAACGAAACTGCCATCCCTGGACATGCGGTTGACGATTCAGTTGATTTCGACTTTGTGCACGCATGTGCACAACCTTTTGCACCCATTCTATTGCGAGAAGAGAATTCCTATAATCTGATAACGTATCTATAGTGGGCATCTGACTGGTTTTTTTTTCTCCTTCCCGTTATTTCCGTTATGACATCAGATTTCAAGTTCAAGAACCAAGCGAAAGCCAAGCACTAAATCATCTTCCGGCATCAATTATTTTTAAATCCTCCCCATGCATGCAAGAATTAGAATTTCAAATTATTTCAAGATTTAGTCTTCCTTCATCTCAAAGTGATCTTGCGAGGGTCTGCAACTATTAAATAATAAAAAATTGTGCTTGCAGATTTTTTTAGAGAGATTGTGAAATTGATATTATTTGCGTCATTTATATTTTGAATAATTGATGAATTTCTCTTCATATTTCCTCATGTGGACCTTAACGTTGTAGTTCACGCTAGATCCCTTTTTTTTTCCTTCGGATAAAATATCTGATTACACCACTCGCTGTAATTGGGCTGAGATGAAATAAGATGAAATAATAATTAATAATAAGAAAAGCAAATATTTATGGGATGGCCCAGTGTATCCAAAAAATCGCGCTATTGAATTTTTTTTTTCAGAAGTGAGAAAATGAATAGGACTCGTTTTGAGTCATTTGCGCGCCTTTTTGGTCACTCTGGATAGTACGTAAATACCTGTTGGTAAATCGGATTAAGAGAACTCACAGGGGTCTTGCCGAAGATAGACGGGTCCTTATCCTTGTTCCCAACGAAATGTTGAAAAACCATATCTATGATCTCATCATCGTTGATACCACTGTGGTGTTTGTCGTCATCGTCTTCGTCTTCTTCATCACCTTTTTTGTCATCCTTGTCTTCTTTCATGCCTTTTTTGTCATCCTTGTCTTTTTCCTTGCCTTTTTTGTCATCCTTGTCTTTTTCGCGGTCATCTTTTCCATCATCCTCGTCTTTTTCGTGGTCATCTTTTCCATCATCCTCGTCTTTTTCGTGGTCATCTTTTCCATCATCCTCGTCTTTTTCGTGGTCATCTTTTCCATCATCCGTGTCTTTGCCCTCGAGGATGAAAACTTGCTGTTTCATGCCTCCGTCATCCTGAAAAACATTTTGAATTTAGATGTCACTAACAATGGAACTACCCTGGAGCTCATCGTCGCCGCTGGTGGAGGTTTCTGCCTGGGCAACCTTGTCGTGAGTGACTACCTGCGTCCCTTGGGGGTCCTGGTGTAGAACGTTGCCGAGGATGTGGTCCACGTCCTTCGTGGGGTCTTTGGGCTTTTGGTTGTCCTTTGTTGGCCTTTCCATGCCATCCCTTTCTCTTTCTTCATCTTTCTCGTCGCTTCCGTGGGCATTCTTATCCGTGTCCAGGGTGTTCGTGGTGGCGGGGGTCTGTGGGAAGATGCACAGCAAAATTTGAATGACCCTGGATGAGTTTCAGAGTGTCGGGTGCAAGAAGCGGAGAAGCATGCGCGACTCAGCTCCTAAGATTGGGGAGTATACGGTGAATGGAAGGGGAACGTTTTAATGTCAATATTTAGGTTTCATGAAATAACTTTTAAAATGCTTTTGCCAAATAGTGAGAATCAGAAAAAAAACTTTCACATGCCTTGGACTCACGGTAAAAGAAAGCTCCACTGTTAACCTCGCCTCGTAACCCATTTCTGGTCATATTTATGTTGGGTCTCATCCCGGCTTTTAAGAAAATTCAGAAAATTCAAACAACAGTCCATGACGTTTATGGTTGATTTTATGATTTATTTTATTTGTAGTTAAAAAAATTAAATCTTGGGGAGTGGGGGGGAATCCGACATATCTTGACACTATCGGTCCGATGGAAACTACAGCCTTAAGCCTTTCTTCAGTGATGGAATGAAAGAAGTTATTCTGAAGAAATTTGATTTTCTTTCAGAATGCCTTATTTTAGTTCGATTAGCGTTTCTAAAACCTGCGTTTGATTGAATATCTGTAGTACTTCAGGCACAAACGCCTATGTCCATTATGAACAGAGAAATGGTGACCCTTGATTGTCAATGGACCCCACAATCACAGCGCCAACTGGTGATAAGCACTCTACCTTGTCAAACGGCACCATTGGATATTAGATGGAGTTGGAATGTCATTTTGTCTTGGGCAAGTAAGTCTACGGTAAATAAGTCTTGGTAACGTTGACTCAATGAGAAGTTCTCCCAGACGGACAGGACCGTCTAAAAGCGATGCAAGAATTCTGCGGGACTGTCTTCCTTCTGCGGAAGTTTCATGACCCCTTTCTTTCAATGGACATTTTACTGATTTGTCATCAGTGGTGATTTATCAAGTCGCTATTTATTATTATTGGTTTATGATGTCCATGCCTTTACTGCCCCCAGGTCACTCACCTTTTGTGAGTCGACGGCAGCCACTTCGGGCAAGGCCTGAAAGGAAGGGAAAGCATGCCCTGTGTATGGGTAGATGTAGGGCGCTCCAGTGAAAAATCCAGATTGTCCATGTCCACCATATGGGGTGTCGAAGGGGGCTCCATAGAAGGAGGTTCCCAGTCCTTGGGATGGGGTTTTGTAGGGAAATCCGGAGAATGAAGGGGAGGGTCCCAAAGCAAGGGATGGGATGTTATAGGGCGCTCTGGAGAATGAAGGGGAGGATCCCAGTCCCGGGTATTGGAAGTTGTAGGGTACACCAGAGAGGCCATATACCACGGGATAGGGTTGGATGTAGGGGTTTCGGAATAGGGTCACGTAGGACTGCTGGCCTGGCTTGAGCGTCTTCTCCGGCTCACTGCCTCCATCTGTTCCGGGGATAAAGTTTTGTAAACGTGGACTGTGGGCTTTTTTTTTGCAGAGTAAAAGTTTCCATTAGGTGAAATTCAATATTCAATTGTTTCTGTTATTTGGCTGACCGGGATGCGAGAGGAATACTAGAGTTCTCATAACACAGACTCTATGAGAAATCCCAACAGACAGGCACAGAACCATCTCCAGGCAAAGGAGATAACCGCTCTTTTTCCTGGAAATATTTTTAGGATTTTTTTTTTCGAAATGGGCCGCCGCTTTCACTTTGTTTGCGAGATTTTATGATTAAAATGCCTGTCTTTTTTTTAAAGCCGCCTTTGTTAAAACTTAGGTTTGCATCATTATTAATTTGTCTTGATCGGTTGCTTTGGTCGATGTGATCCAATATTGCGGGCAAAACCTTTCCAGACACGATGAAGAAACAGTAAATGCCGAAAATCACATGCGAAATCTCGTCTTCGCTTGTGCCGCTGACTTGAGTTGATTCGTCCAAGCGAAAAAAAGCCGTTGAAATAGAAACAAAGGATTTTAATGAGGTGGTAGCTTCGAATATGCTCTATCACGTTTCACAAGTATTTTTTTTTAAATATGATCTAATCTCGTAACAAGTTAGCATTCCCCTCAACTCCCGATTTTCGTTCGCCCCTCCTCCCGAGAAAGAGAGCTCTTCGTGGATCTTAGGATTACGCATTTCATGTGATTAACCACGTTATCCCATAGCTACACTGGAAAGGAAGCAATAATGAAGATATCTGCAGTCGCCGCGTGGCCGCGGCTGCCCCGAAGGGTTCAATATACTCTAGCTGGTTTTTTTCACTTGCTCTCCTTTTCTTTCCCCCTCATCTGCATTCATACGTTAAGCTCATATTATGTTCCGACCTTGGCCCTGACGGTGTTCCTTTGTAACCGCAGGCCAATCTATGTGAAATGAAACTTCACAGTGGTACCTCACACTTACGACTAGAAAGCACCTGTCGACATCCCTTGTCAGCACGTGCCGTTTGCATCTCTCGAAGAACCAAGTTCTATGGCAACATGGGGAACCTTGCGCTCGCGAGATTATTTGACACTGAAAAAATTTTATGCTAATCATGACGTGCATTTGATTATGAAATGTCTCCTATCCCATTCACTATCAATGAGAACTCCAGGAATATTCATAAACTTGATGCGATTTACTACGCAACATTATATCGTGCACTTCTTAATTTTTTTTTTTAGTTTTTGGATCACCTCAATTGAGTTCACATTGTAATTTTTTGAGCCGGAACCTGGCAACAAAAGAGTCCTCACCATTTCGTAGGGGAGCGTAGGGCTGATACGCAAAAGTATACAGAGCACCGTGGGCAGACGAAAGGAAGAGGAGCAATGAAGCGACGAGTATCACCATGGCCATAGTGGTTGTCAAGCGGTTTAGGGGTGTTCCCTCCACACACTGTTCCTTGGACAAGGCTCAATGGAGGAATGGACGCACTGGACCCTCTCCGCCTTCTCTTCTTATACCCGCCCCCCCCCCCCCCCTTCCGCCTCCCCTTTTTTGATATCGCCGTATGTCCACCCACTCGCTAAGGAACAAAAAGATGAATACCATTATTGTTTATGCGTTTGTACTATTCGATTCGCTCCGTTGGTTTTTTGGAATGGCGCCTTGGCCAGTTTTTAGAGAAATCCTTGATCAATCGGTTCATGTTGTGGGTGTCTTGGATTGTGCATCCTGTTCCCCATCAACAATTTCACCAATGACCTTACATGTTTCAAATGAGCAATCTTACTTGAAAAAATAAAAAAAAGAGTTTGGAAGGCCGAATGTCTCCAGAACGACCCCCCCCCCAATCCTGTTGTGACTTTGCAGCGGTTTCAATCAGTGTTTCGTAATGCCCATTTTTAGATCTCATGCTCGCCTCAAGTTAATCTACCGAAGAGTATTTCCAACTTTCATACCACGTTGCATTCCAGACAAGTCAAAGCGTAATGGCGTGATAAAAGAGTTAGCATGGGAAGGTTAGCAATAAAATGGAAGGGTCCGAATTGCTCCTTCACAGCCGGGAATCTTCGAAACCATGGCGTTGCAATGCGTCTGGGTCGCGAGAGGATTCAATGTCATCCCTGAAGGATAGATGGGAAAGGGCAATATATATATTTAAATAAAAAAAAAGGGAGAAGCACCTGGGGCTCCTAGTGTTAATGCTCAGGCCTTCGTCCTTGAAAAGTAGCTTGAAAATAACTTTGACTCACGGCTTCTCTTTATTCTCTCCTTTCACAGTTTTTTTTTAAGGGGGGGGGAAATACCGAGTTTCATGTAGGGTCGACCGAGAAGGAATCCCGTTAATCCGCCTCGTATCCCCTTTCCCGCTGACTTTGACCTCTTCTGGGTCATTGCCTCTTCCCTCCTGGGTCATTCAGACATGGCATCTAAAGGAAAGGAAAGAAAAGAAATTCCGGAAACGTGGCTGGAAAGAAGCAGATCATGCTTGAACCCCTATCGTAAATAAGATCAGCGATTGTGGTCGGATAATTTATCAGTCATTAGTGATGCGGTTTAAATTGACCGCGACCTCACCTTTTAAGCTAGGGGGAGAGGAACTGGAATATTTATATTCCTATGGAAACCCATGATTAGATCGGATCAATTTCATCTTACATTCTTTGTCATCAAGTTATGTGCGACGAATACCCCGCGCTTTCTTGGATCATACAAGTTTTTTTATTATTATAAATATATATAAGTGCAGAAATGCTTGAGCCTTTACCTTTTCAAGTTCTATTCTTATCTGTCATCTAAGGACAAAACTTAATTCAGGCCGTTATATCGGTTCAGGAAGTGGCTCATCCATTGATGATCGTGTGCGTACCTTGGGAGTAACGCACCGTGACGTTAAATGGATTCTTGGTTAGAAAGATACAAGGACAGAGGCCAGTCTGTTATGTGTCTCAAGGTCCTTTTTAAAGAAGAAATGGAAAGGATGAGGAATGATGAGAGGAAGACATTCCTTGAATGATATGAGGAAGGCGAGCACATTCCAGGCTTCCGTGCGTGAAATTTCACTGGTATTGAATATTTTTAGAGCCAGGGTGCCAACCTTGAGTTGGAACCTTCTTCCGGGTCCTTCGTAATTCTTGTTTTTTTTTTTTAATTTCTGGTGAGCATTCATGCATAAAATATATTTAAGGTACGTATTTTTTTATGTGCTAGAATTGAACTTCAGTTCATCCGAGATGGGAACCCAACCAATAAGAGCTGGTTCACCTTCTCTCCCCCCTCTCTTTCTCTTTTTTTTTCCCCCCCTCTCTATTTCGAGGTCATTTTCTGGGGTGTTTATAGCGTGAAAAAACTTTGCCTGAGGTTGCCCTGGTGGAGAAAGGGAGGTGGGGGGAGAAGAAGCAGATGATTTGAGAGGCAAAGCCAATCAGTTCGACGTCCTTGCAAGGCCGTAACAGGGTGTCTCAAAAACTGATCACGTCAAAATCGGGAGGGGGGAATCAGCTGCGCTCGTAAGAAGGCGATGCTGGAAAGACTCGTGTTTGATTTCTGGCTTTTGTATGGTGAGGAGATCGATGATGCCGTGCTCTTTCGGTGATATAATAAATAATTTTAATTTTTTTTTTACTTATTACTTCACAGTTCATTGGATTTTTATCTGCCCGGAGAATTTCATTTCATTTTATCCTCAGCCTGCATTTTCATTATTTCTGCTTATTTTGTTATACCCCTAATGTCGCATTCTATCATGATTATTTCCGTTTCCGTCTGAGAGGGATTGTATTCAATTTTTCCGCCCGGGCCGAACAAAAGCCCAAACCACGGGGGTTACCCGTTACCATGATTAACATATTCACACAATAATAAATAGCCCGCTATTGCCTGCGTTGATTTTTCACCTGCCCTCCTTGTCCACGTGCGTGTTTTGGATCACCCTGTCCGAGTGAGAGTCCATCAGTCAGACTAATGTGTGACTGGAGGCGATGAGGAGGACGCTCCACTGTCAAGTTCATGGGCAACGTGAGGAATGATGCAACTCCCCTGCTGTGAAGGAGAGCAACGGCTGAGAATGATGCAACTATCTGGCAGAGCACCGGCTTCCAAGGTGTTCACGTTTTGACTGCTTTATTTTTTGCAATTGAAGGATTTTCGTGCCCGATGCAAGACCGCATGAGATTCGTTGTCCGGCAAGATATTCTGCCGGATTTTTTTTTAAGTTTCTCCGTCATTTCCTCGCATGGGTCGTAAAAAAAGAAGCATTTCTAACCTTTCACGACATGTTTTTGATTGATTCAGCGTTTATCCTGAGTAAGAGGAGGATATCTTCTTTTTCTCTTCATAAATCTTCATATCATCGTATGGCTTGAGAGGTTCATTTTGAGGGAAGTCCAATTAAAGGCCGATGCTGAGTCGTTCGTGGCTGTTACTAGTCCAACCATCGCGGAACCCTAGGCTCCTGTTTACGTATTCAAGTCATTCTTGTGATTAGGGGAACTTTCCTAAAAAGGATAGTGCACTTGAGTTAGAGAGAGAGTGAGAGAGAGAGAGAGAGAGAGAGAGAAAAGAAAATTAAACAACATGTATGATCAAGAGTTACCGTCTAAATTACTTACTCAGGGGGCAGTTAGTTTCAAGAATCATTAATAATTGCCTAAGAGTCAATAAATGTCATTAGTAATACATCATTTTTCCGGATTGATAAATCAGAAGGCATTAATCGTATATTTGAAGCCTTGGTCCTACTAGAACCACTTTATTGGTATAATTGACATGTTTGTATATCATTTTAAATTAGTGACCATATATTAGGGTGATTTATCACTTAGACGAATTTATTTTCATGCATATATTTGTAATTGGTATGGTATCTTATTATTATTCGTCGTTTGGCAATTTAATGTTATTTCATGATAATTTGATATTTGGCTTAATATAAATTCGAAATTCTTCGGCGGTGAAGAACAAATTGGCGGCGCTGTCCGGTTCAAAGAAGATCCAGACGCTATGGAAAAAAATGACATAAAAAACCAGGTTGTGGGGTTCAGTTAGAGGGGATGGGACAGGTTGATTGAAAGTGAGTACATGGAGGGAATACCGGACTGACGGGTGTGGAGGCAAGTGAAGAGGAAACCGTAACGTTTGTTATGGACCTGTCCAG